TATAACTCCTTCTCACTTTATTTTAGTTTATCTCTTATCTAGGGTTAGTTAGTCTAGATTTGGTTTCTAATCTAAAAATCATTTAAGATCCTTGATATCTGTTTAATCATGTCTTGATCTCATCCTAGATGAGCTAGATCTAGTAGACCCGAACTCACTCCTGCTCCCGTTCCCGTGCCTGAATTTGCTAATTATGAATGATATCTTCGTAATCCATCTTTAATTAGAAAATATCGTACTTATTGTCTATTCAAAATCTTTCCCGGGATATTTGTTAATTTTGAAGATTTTGCTCATTTCAGTTGCATATATATTTTAGTGATGCTAGACTACATGGTTTGCTCACTCATAGTAATTGTCTTCTATATTATCCAAATCTTGTAAGTCTATTTTATACAAATTTGCAACTAACTAATGTAGATACCCCTTTCATTACCTCTCTTGTCAAGAATCGTCATATTGTTTTCACTATCCATCAATTAGCTGAGATTATTGATATTCCTTTTGGGGACATTCTCCTGAAGGATGTAGACTATGATGATAAAAATGTTGATTCTCTAATCCTCCTTCCAAGAAAACGTTTTCCTCTTTCTAATAGCTTAGTCTCTCCTCTTGGGAGAATCATTGCTTGCATCATTTCCTACAATATAATTCCCAAGACTGTGGATTATGATCATTTCTCTTAAGAGTTGACTAGTGTGGTTTATGCCATTTTAGGAAACCTTGACGTAAAATGGAGCAAGGTTATTTTTGATGCCATGACAACAAACCACATGGGATTTCTTCCTTTTGGAGCCTTACTCACTAAGATTTTTCACCATTTTGAAGTGGATCTATCCGATGAGGCCCCCATTCATATTCACAATCTCTTTGATATCCTTAGCCTCTCTAGGATGAATCTCTTTGTTACTCTATACTAGATGGAACATCCTGATGATACTGTAGATCCTTTCATAAATGAACCATCATCTCTTCCATCTAGTTCTAGGGCTCGTCCTCATCCTCGTCCTTCTCGTGCATCATCTTCCATCCCTTCCAGTGCTCTGGATGATTTGGTTCACTGGTTGGGTAGTTAAGAGGAGAGAGTGTATGCTCGTCTAGATCACATTGAGAGCAGAGATGAAAATTGGTATGGTGAGTTGTTGAGGAGGTAGGATGAGAGTTCTGCTAGAGTTGAGAGTAGGCTTGATGAGATTTTAAGGATCCAGCAACAGTTCATGGATATACACATGCCTCATCCTTCTTTGGGTCCTGGGCCATCCAGTTCTTGAAAACAAATTTTCTCATTTGGACTTGTATTTTTTAATATATGTATTTGAACTATATGCTTATTTGGTTTGTAGTTTTTGTTTGGTTTGAACTATGTATTTTGTTTTATCTTGGTATGAACAATGAGTTTGTGAGATTATTGTAAACACTCTTATGATGATATGCATTTGTTTAAGATCATGGATCATCCTAATTGTGCTTTATAATGTACTCTTTGTGTGGTTAGTTGTTCATGTTTTGTTCACATAATTTTTATGCATATATTCTTTTGTGATGAAAATTTGTGTACAAATTGGCCTAATTATCATTGAGCATATATTATATTGCTTTTCAATAAGGGGAGCATTCTCTATATCTGTTTTATACCCACCATGCTTATAGGTAGGGGGAGCGTTCGCTCTCTATCTCAATATTTATTTTCCCCATTTTGATGTTGACAAAGGGGGAAGAACAAGTGGTTAGTGAGTATCTTGTTTATGCATTTTATATTCTTTTATATCTATTGAGGAAATTGTTTGTCATCATCAAAAAATGAGAGATTGTTAGGACTTATGTTTATGATCCTACTTTCTAATCTAGTTTTGATGATTAACAAACAATTTATAATTGTGTTTTCCAGTATTTTTGTTTTCTCAAATGCGTATCCAGGTTGAAAGGATTTGTGCTAAAACGACGATATTTGGAATGACGCTGACACATTTCAAGTCTAAGATTCAAGATCAAGCTTCATGCACATCATCTTGGGTATATTAGTTTTAGGAATTATACTTTTTGTGTTATGCTTAGAGCTTAAATCTTATACACACACGTATTTTTGTGTGTTATGCTTAGAGCTCAAATCTTTATACACACATATTTCTCGTTTTTATCATAATATGAGTGTTTTTTGAGAAAATATCGAGTCTTTGGATTATTGACTTAACAATAATGTTTTATATTTTTTTACAAAATCTATTAATCCATTCAAAAGAATTTCCAAACGTGTTTGAAATCGTTTTGTCAAAATCAAGTATTTAAACAAACTCGTATTTCTACAAAACGATAAGTTTTCACAAATAGGAAATGATATTTCAAAATTTTCTTTTCTAACATATTTATATTCAAGCATATAAATATTTTCCCAAGTTTCATAATCTTTAGAATTTATTTGCTAATTTTAAACACACTTTGAAAATCAGATTTTCTATTTAAAACTAGCCTGTGCACGTTTTTTGGTTAACCAACACTGTTCATAGTGCTCTATAATTACCAAAAAGTTTCTTCTTAGTCAATTAACTTTCATCAGTCGACTGAATAGAATTTTTAGTCGACTGACACTATGCATTAGTTGACTGAAAACTATTCTGCAATTGCTAAAAAGTTTCTGCTCAATCGACCGACCTCCATCAGTCGACTGAACAGTGTTTTCAGTCGATCGATGGTTTGCATCAGTCGATCGATAGTTTCCCAAAATCAGCCATCAGTCAGCTCATCAGTCGACTAAACAGTACGTCAGTCGACCGACGATACTGTAACGGCTTGTTTTCCAGACTCATTTGTTTATGATTTTTGATTAGTTTGAGCGGCTATAAAAAGCCCTCAACTCTCATTTATTTCTTATGGATGTTTAAGTGAGTTTACATAAGTTTGTTTCAAAGTTTTAAGTGTGTTTTTGTTTATACAAAAATAGTTTACAAGAGGAGGAGATCATTTCGGTTATGAGCATCATTCTTCAAATCTCTATCTATCTTGTTCTTGGAGAAGTTTTTCTAAACTCAATTATCTAGCTTGTTTATATTTAAATTGTTACATTTATATTTTCTAGATTAATTCGAGTTTGATTTTATTTTTACTCTTTGATTTCACACACAACCTATTTGAGCTTAAGTATTTTTACATATTGTATATTTGGGTTGTTGTGAGTGATTCTTTGAGAGTGAGCTTTCATTTCGTTCTCAATTTGTATTAGAGAACAAAATCTTGTATTTGCACTTAATTCTTGAGAACACATTGTAATACACAAGGACACTTAGAGGAGTAGTTGAGAGAGACCGTGGTCAATTCCAAGAGGAGTGCCGTTGGTTGTAAAGCCTAGGAGAGGTAGTAAATTCAAGCACTTGAGGACGGTAACACGGGTAGGCCAACACTTAGAGGAGTGTATTGTGTGATTATCAATCGTGTGATTTGTAAACGTTATCGGTGAGCATTGAAAACCGACTATGTTGTGATTTTTGTTGTGATAGTGGAGAATCTCCTCGAGGGCGAGGAGCGGAGACGTAGGTCGAGAGTGACCGAACTCCGTGATCATATTATTTATTTGTGTTTGGCATTGGCACACTCTTATTGTCTCATTGTTTATATCGTCTATTATTCATTGTTTATCCTTGCATATATCACTTGTGTATATCATATTGCTACGATATTTCATTAATAAGTTTTAATTTGGCATCGTATTCAGATTAGATTAGCAATTACCCTATTCACCCCTCTAGGGTACTTTCAATTACCCTAGAGATCTTAAGCAAACTTCCTTGATGAATTTCAGCCACAAAATGGGGTTGAGAGAACCGAATAGGCGGATGAATGAGAGAGACAAGAGTTAGATAGAGAGAGAGGAAAAATCGACACTGTGAGTAAAAAATGGGTTTGGTTGGTATATGTAAGTGGGCGAGACTCATAATAAAATAGTCGGGGTTGGGAACCCCGACTATTTGGTGACTTAGTCGATTCCCCCTTTTCGAGCGAGAGGAGTCTCTGTCAAATGATCGGGGTTGGGAACCCCTACCATTTTCTTTGGTCATTGCATGTGTTTGCTAAATGGTCGGGGTTGGGAACCCCGACCAAAATAGTCGGTTTCGTAACCCCGACTTATTTAGCTCTGCTAATCGCGCAGAGCTTCTAAGGGTGGCTAACTAATTAGAAACTTGATTTTTTTTAAAACGATCTAGTTTCTAGCCACAATGCTGACGTGGTCAGAAACTGAGTTAATTTTTTTAATAAAAATAGGACTGGATTGATTTTTGAAAGAAAATTATGGATTGAATCTGTTTTAAAAATTTCTTCAACAGACCGTTAATAAAAACAGGTGGGGTCCGCATGGAATTAGTAAGAGGGCGAGGGCATGGATCATGCTGCGGATTTGAAGTTTGTTCCCGACGCTTTCTTAGTGGCTTTCCG